TCAAAGTTTTGCTTTTAAAAAACTAAGAGAAATTGATTGTGTGACAATATATTGACTAAATTCTAAATATAGTTGAGTTGATTCACGATGAAAATTGGCCACCCCTCTCTTGGAATGTAACTAACTTCGTTTTAACCCGTTGGCTGATAACTGTTCAAGCTTGTTTTGGGAGAAAAAGAAATGCATCGATTTCGTCAACAATTGTCAAACTCCGTCTCGATTTCAATACGAAAAAATCGAAAGGAACATTTTCCACATAGTTTGGCTGTCTTGCTTTCGAGAAAGTAGAAAACACTGTGCAATCTCGTCAAAAATTATCTGACGAGATGTGTATGGAAAAGAACTACGATCACGATATCAAATCGTTCTTGGAACTATCTTTTTTGTCGAGAAATTTTGAAGTTGACTGAAAGATGGCAAAAAAGATAATCAAACAAAATGTATAATAAAGTTCTTGTTTGTTGTTCGTCTTTCGTTTGCACACGAAAAAAAAAGGCAGTTTTTGGCCAACCTACTATATACTGTATATATTAGGTTTCCCCTTCTACCTCCCCCGCCCCCCTATGTATATATCTGCGATTCCAAAATATAAAGATTTGTCCGATCGGTATTGTAAATCGTTAACGTCTGATTCCCTGTGGTGGCGGTGATACCAACGCGTTATATACCTGTCGAGCGATTGCTATCGCGAAAAGGGAACGTTAGATTGGTTATGGGTAGAGGGTGAACGCTTATCCGCCACGCGGACCTGACTGGAACTCTCCAGTGCAAATGCGACGTGTACATACACCCGAGGCTATCCTCACGTATTTATAGCACTTCTCATTGCCACTTTCACAGCGATTTTCTTTCGCGTCGTTCGAAACGTCGTTGTCATCGTTGAACGAAACTGACTCCAAGATCGAACAGTATCATTCTCCCTTGCAGTCATCGCGTTCGATCTTTTTGGCCTTCGTTTACTCGCCGTCTTTCAAAAACAGAAAAAAAGAAAAGAAAAGAAAAGAATCCGAGGAAAAGCGAAAAGAACATTTGAACCATGAGCCGATCAAGGAGGAGAGAAAATGCTGTAAATGCATGCTTTGTCCGGCTACGCTTGTACATACATACACACACATACACACACACGTTGGATATTTTTGCTGTAAATATGCATGAAGAATTCTTGGACAGACTTGGTCGACGCCATACCGATTCGACGGCCATCTCTGATGACAATCGACTTTATTGCTCATTGCAGGAACGAACGCGACGCCCGCGTTCACCGGCCCGTTAGCCACAGACGCGTTCAATCGGCAATCGATCGACGGTAACAAAAGACCGAATAACAAGTCGGATTCGGCCGGGCCTGGCCACCAACTGGATCCTGCCATCACTTCCTCCGTGTGGGAACATTCGAAAGACGTTCACGCGCACACAGACACCACTACTCATGGACTCTTCCATTACCCCATGGATCCTGGACACCCGACGATACCGTACAACGGACCGTACAGTCCCGATTACAAGCCTACGCGTCCCACCGTAGAGAACGTGTTCCACTTACCCCCTCACACCGAGAAACCTTCGAGCGTCTCAACCGAACGTCTGAAAGAAAAGACGACCAGCGTCAAGACGAAGTTCGACGCTAAGAAACCGGTCGAGCCTGTCGCGCACAAACCGCACAAAGACGACTATTTCCCCGGCCCGTTGGCACCGGACAAATTCTTGGACAAGGTCGGCTCGATAGTCGCGAATCCGAACGCGAATACAAACGGGAACGAGAACCAGCAATTCGTACCCGGGCCCGTGAATCCCAACAAGCTACCGCCTGTGCAGAAGGCAGGTCACGCGACCGATCAGCCTCAGTTCGTGCCGCTGAGCCCGCAACAAGAGACAGTGGGCCAAGGATTCGGCAACAGCGGTCAGATCGTTCCTCAAGGCGGCTTTAACGCGCAATTCGACAACTCTGCCACAGCTGGTTCGCCTTACCCGGCCAGAGGTTCGATGCACGGTCCGGACAACGTCGATCCGAACGTGATCGTGAATATCGCCGCGAGCCCGAAGAAGAAAGCTTCTCCCAGCGACACCGAGAAGGGCAAGAGCCCCACGGGCTCTTTGCCCGGTCGACCGAAACAGGGCCAGAGAAATCCAGAGCAGGAGATCCTCCCGGAGGAACTGTATCATCTGATCAACCTTCAGCATCCGGGTCTCGTTCAGCTGGAACACGCGCCGCCCGAGGGCCATCCCGGCTTGTACGACATCCATCAACAGATATCCAATCAGAAACAGACGCCCAATGGTCAGACACGGCCGAGTTTCTTCGCCGCGGGCAACGGGCCGAAGAAACCCGCGAAGCCGCACGTTTACGCGCAGAAGAACGAGGACGGCCATACGACCTACCACATACACACGCCAGACATACCGAACTCGCCCCAGCAGATCGAGGAACTGCTAGCACATATCGGCCAACACGATCCCAATCCTGGACCGTTCCAACACTATCCTGGACAGCCAGCCATACCTCATAACGTGGCGAGTGGCCCGACAGCCACTCTGCCGCTTCACATTGACGCTCACATACCGCATTCTCAGGGGCTCACGCATTTGAATCATCCGTTCGCAGCACAAGCGCCAAACCAGTCAGGTTCGTCCCCGATCAGCAACAAACTTTTTCATCGAACTCGTATATTTCGTCTCTTCGTCGCTTCTTCTTTCGTACTGCGCGCGTGTTCTGTAAGTAATCAGTCGAAGTAACGTCGTCGAGGGCAAGAAGCCGACGAGAAGTTTCGTAACGTTCGTTTG